AAATAATTTTAAGTTATTAAATTTATTTGAATCATATATCTACATATGTATAAGTTTATTGATAACCCCTCGATAATTTTTTAAAAACTACATCCTTCCGCTGATTCATCGTCGTTTATTTGTCCAATGCCTTCTGTACTCCAAGAGTCCGTCTTTTCGCAGTGTGCGGGCGAGGTTGACATATTTGTTGTAAAGCATACCTCGTGCCCGGATATGACCCAAACGTGGCATATAAAAAGTATCCTGCGGAAAAACGAATGCTTGTAAGAAACTTAATACCGTTTCACTCAACAGCTATGTACACACATACATATATGTTAGCATATGTATATGTGTACATAACCAACGTACTTACATCGCTCTCGTTTGGGAATAGCTGCAGCAGCTGCTTGTTCATGCTGTGGAAATCATGTACAGACATATCCATTCGCTTGTCCAGCGCCGCAGAAATAATTATCTTAACCACTTTCTTGCGGTGGTGCATGTCGAGACATTTGTTCTCTTCATAGTATTCAATGGCATTCATACCTTCATAACAGCTTTTAAGCACAGATTTGACATCCTGAAAAAGTGCATACAATTCGTATAAAGGTTCACGTAAACGATGAGAATAATTTTATTGAGGACAGCAATCCCTGACTCTCGTAGAGAAAATAGCCATTCTCATTACTAATTAGAGGGTGCAGAGTTTCATGCATCTTGAGTGAGGGTGAGGATCACGAGATCCTTTACATATACATACACATGTATATAATACATACATACATTAGGGCAGGTCGAAAGAAACAATATATTTGATTAGAAAATTGTATAGGGCTTAAAAGGTGCTATTTTAAGAAAGTAAATCCCGTTTCTCTGTGACAGTAGTATCTTCAGTCTGCGGAATGTGCTTGAAAAATTTAAGTAAGAGTGGGAATACCAATTTTTAAAATTTGGAATTGGGAAAATTAAAAGTAAGTAAAATCTACTAAACTTGCTTTGAATTTGCCCAATTTATTTTTTTTATGATTTTGTGATAGGAAATAACTTCGTTGTAAAAATTTAAAAAATTGGTATTCCCACTCTTATTTTAAAATTTTCAAGCTTCAAGTTTTCTAGAATAAGGGATTAAAATAGCATCTTTTAAGACCTATACAATTTTCGTATCAAACGTGTTGCGTTTTCGACCCGCCCTAATATACACATATACATACGTACTTCTGTAAGTCTGTGAGATTATTTTCGTCTACCTACCAAGTGTCTTTTCGAAGTAGACGCCTTTTCAATTGGCGAGTCATCATATTTTGCATCGCTCATCATCGATGCAGTTTTGGAGTCACTATCTTCGTACACTTCGCTCTCTTTTGTAGGGTCGTCATACAGATTACTCGCGTGCTCATCTTCTAGAGTTATTTCTGGAAGTTCGTCTTTGATGGCAACTGTTGTATCCACTTGATCGCTGTTTAGTAAAATAACGTGATCGTCCTTCTTGATTACTTGCTGTTGTCGCCAAGCCAAAAGATGTGATCGAAATATTGCACGGGGTCCAATTTTCGGTATTAGTTCACAGATGTCCTCATCCGTCAAATATTGGAATGCCACAGTGCAAACCTCTTGTTCTGCAGTTTTTATCATAAATAAAATCACAAATTCTATATTACATTATCGTCATATTCTAAGTCATTACCTTTAAATTTAGTGCAGAGGTTTTGTAGGTTCCATGACGACAGCAAGCTGAGCGCCTCGCCCAAATGGGGTTTCGCTATAAACGATAAAAAACAGTTGATTGAAGCTTTCATATGCAAGAACATATGTACATATTTTTTAACTAGGCAAATTAAGTGAACTTTTTTACATAAATGAAGACATTCTAAAATGGGTAAGAAAATATCAAAAACGCCAAAGGAGATCTTCAGTCGCTTAAAAGTGCTATTAAGTTGGCCGAAGAGAAGAAAGTTGAAGCAAAGCATGTCTCCGATCGTCCGTTAATTCTTTGAATTAGATAACAGCGAGAAATAGGAGGGCATCTTGAACTTATTTTTAGGACATTTTGCTACATGCTTAGTCGAATTTCCCCAATTGTGGTACGCGTCTTGGTGTCCTTACACAAATGGAGGGATTTATAGTCTTAAAGCATAAACAGACGGCAGCGTTGATCCGGATCAACTCGGGAATTAACTGCACTTGATCCGGATTAAGTCCGAGTTAATCCGGATCAACGCTGCCGTCTGTTTAAGCTTATAAATCGCCTCTGAACGGTAGATGGTTTTTATGCGAAGCTTTTTCTTCTGCCAGACCTTTTGCGTTGGGTAATAAATTCATAACGGTATCCTCCAAATGTTCCTCATAAGAAGAGAATTCGTCTTTCTTTATTTTAAAAGTGGTCAAAGTCATTTCACATCTTTTGTGTTTAAATGATAATTTAACTGTAACTTCATCAACCAAAGGTAAAACGTTTATTAGTTTATGGCGATAGAAAATTTATTTTCAGACATCCAAATCTGACGTGGCCAGAGGAAAGTTTCTAATAAGGAATTGGTGTGCCATTAATCCTAGACATACGGATGTCGTTTTGCTCTCAGGGGATTTGCCGGAAGCTGCATGGCTAATGAATTGGCGAGCCAGGCTATCCTTGAGGTTATATCTCCTGTTTCTTCCGTTGAGCTCTGAAAGCCACCGCACAATGGCTCCAAATCCAAAAAGGCCGTCGAAAGTTTTAAATATTTTAGGCATTCATAATCGGCTTTGACGCAGTGACCGTATACTCTGAGTAGGCGCGGGACTATAAGCTATTCTGTCCGATAAAGTTGCGCATGCTGAACGTTCTATTTAAAGAAACGGGTTGCGGCTAGCTGCGACAACTTCGAAAACGTTTGAGTTTTAAGAAATTTTTACAAATTTCGCAAATCTAACATTTATAATTCTCGGTTCGGTTTTTGTCGACACTGCCGAGGAACTCCCGAGGTGGTCATCAGCTGCCTAAATTTTAGGCGACTTAATTTTGAGAAGTTTAAAGAATCTGATCAGATCTCAGCTCAGCTGAATATAATGTAATTATATAGCTAGTTTCCTATGGGAAAAATAAACGGGTGCGCCACCTCTTGGAATTATCGTAGAGAGGGCAGATTGAAATGTGTCATGTACATACGGATACTTGGGCGGCCGCTGTGGCGCTACCACTCCGCAGGGCCTGGGGCGGTCGCCTTTGGACAGGCAATGGAAAACCTCCGAGTGTATTCCTGCCGTGAAAAACAGCTTCTCTTAAAAATAAAATCGCTCTTCGGAGTCGGCGTAAAATTGTATGTCCCTCCCCTTTTTGTGACACCACGCACGCCACAAATCGTAGGAGAAGGTCGGCCAAACACTAACATAGTATGTGTAAACGGCAATCTATTATTATTATTATTACATACTGATATGTATGTGAAAAATAGGTATGTGTCAGTTTGACCAATTTTGGCTCTTTTTATTTGTTTATCAATTGTGTGTAAAATTATAGCTCGATTTATTCAAAGAAATTTAAGTAAAAGTATTAAAATCGCTAGAAAAAGCATTGCTTAATTTTTACTCATACGGCTCATTATACAGGCATAGTCAAAATTACTTTCCGTGTAATTACGTAATTTTTCCACGTTTGCTAAAATGCCACAAAGATTTAATCACGGATTTGTTTTAATAGCTTTCATTAAGTTTTCCTTCCCCCAAACTTCGACACCAGTCTTTCCAGATTTACAAATTGAGCGCCTCTTTACACCAAGAGTGTCAAATAGCCGTCGAAATTTACCACCGTGAAAAGATAATCATTACTTTCTATATGCTGCGTAAATACTTTTGACGTCAAAAAGTATGTAAATACTTTAGACGACTTAGAACGAATATTCAAATGTTATCTTTAAATTGAAATATGTATGAAGACATTTTCTAAAACAGTTTAAAGGCAACAAAAAAAAAATTTTGCACTTTGCGTAAATAATTTTGACTATAGGGTCGGTTATGCAAGACTTCTAGACTGCCTGTTAAAGATAACCAGTGCTTTGACTGCCTGTCAAATTTTTCGCTCACTTGCTTATAAATAACCGGCAATCGTTAAAAAGTCGATAAAGCAGACTGGCCGTCAACTTTTAGCAGGCAGTCGAGAAAACGGCCCTTGGACTTGACTTGAAAATCTATACATACGTATGTATCTGGCAAATGTGCACCGCGTATATGTATCTACCCACCAAACAATTTTTGTTGCCGGCAATAAGAAAACGTTTCCCCCTCGGAAACAAATTTATTGCCGGTAATATTGCGATCGTATTGATTTCCTATTACCAGTCGCTCTAAAACGTCCGCCGAAGGCAACTTGCTTGGGCGAGTCGTTTTCTTATTACCTGAATGAGTAATTTTCTTAACGCTTCAGGCGATATTTGGAATAATTTTATTCTTTTCAATACTTCAATTATTTTTTGTATACAAAATTGGAACTTACATGAAACGAAAATAATTCCTTCTTTCCCTATGGGGCTTCCTATCTTTTCAATCCTGTCCTTGGTAAAAATTAGACGATTTTGGATAATACTGTTGACGCGAAATTTATAAGTTTGGGAATTTTTGATAACTTATTTATTCCAAAGTTGACATGAAAGAAATGATGTTGCCGATTTGTCGCCACAGCAATAAATCGGTGAGTTGCCAATTTGTTGCCATTGACGATTGTTGCCTATTTCTCATGTTTTGCATGGTGGGTAGTTACCCACAAAAAAACAACTTCCCTTAGAAACTTGGTGAAATCTAGATTTTTGATTTCTAAGTTAAGTTTTAAGTCTAAGTGAAACGAATGCCGTGAGAAAATTATGCTGCCATATCACATTTTCACTTATTTTTAATAAAATTCCTCCAAATATGCCACACAAACATAATCTTTTGTACATGTAAATGCAATTCATCTGGCAATCCAAAATCAAACTTTCAAATAAAGATTGAAAATAAAATAACAACAATCACGATTTGATACGCGTAAATACATTTATCTCAATTGATATTTTTTGATTAGTTTTTAACCCAAACAAATTAAAAAATTACAATTTTGCGTGTAAAAATGCAAAGGCTGAGAATCAAAAGAAAGGGAAAAAGTAATAGATGACCTGCAGAGTAATCGTTTCTAAGTTTCTACCTAAATACGTCAAGTCAAGTGTAAGTCTTGCATAACCGGGCTTTATGGCTGTATAACAAAAAGCCACATTTCAAAGTTTGTACAAAAATTATAAATTTATTAAGTTACTTGCATAAATGCAATCAATAAACATACCTACATATATAAAATACATAGGAACATACATATGTACATACATATCTAGGTGTTGTGCGGTGATGAGAACAATAACAACAATGTAGCAACAATTAGGGGTTTCACAAGACGTGTTAACCGTCGTAAAATCTTAAGCTTAACATTGTTTTACGTAAAATAATGATTACTATGGATTTAGAGAATTTTTTACTACGCTGAAATATTTTTTAACGTATAAAAAATATATAATTAGCCCCACCTAAAACTGTTTTAGCCGTTATTTAACATAAAAAAATGTTAAGCTTAACATTTCACGACGGTTACCACGTTTTGTGAATCCCCTTAATGTATATACGAATTAACAATTGATAACTAATCTGTTTGCATTTCTTTTTTTAGTTTATAAAACATAGCACCGAATACGTGCATACATGCACACGTAGGTACACACATTTATACTAAATATGTATGCACGTACAAATATTTAAGTTGCACATACATACATACATATATAGTATATATGTATGTATGCACGTGCCGGGTAAATGTAGGAACAGTTGTTGTATTGCAAAAAGTTGTTTTATTGTTTTCGAGTTGCTTGCTAACAACTGCGCATGAAGCGATTATTTTGTTGTAAAATTGATACAGATATGTAGGTATGTATGTTCATATGTACATATGAAGTACATATGCACAGAACTTATGATTGAAAATACATATGTATAGATATGCGCTTCAAGAGAATAATAACAATTTATTGAATCTACTTACTCACCTTCTTTATCCACATCTTGCATTGTTAACAAAAATATTTATTTCTATGATAAACCGAAAGTATGTTTTTTACTATGAAATACACAGAACTGATATCGCTGCTCTTCTTATCTAACCGTTTTCCCTAACAAAAATTACACCTCCAACACACTTCGAGCTGTTGTCGAATGTTCACAGAACGACAACAAAATAACAAACTCAGCAATGAAGTACAAAAGCCACGAAGCTATCACACGTACATACATGCATATGTAGTTGCTATATTAAGTGCAGTTATCTCTCTCTCTCACTCACCTGTGGCCAGTTGGCTTGGCTAGTAGTCAAAGTGAAGCGACTACAGTCTGATTGGGTTCGTCTTGTGCGCACACACACGCAGGTACACTAATAAAGATAGTGTGGCAGCGGTGATGCCAGTATGCACGTTTCTTACCTTTTCTTAATTCTGTATTTGAAATTGATTTCTATTAGCTGCATATTATACTATGTCCATATGTATTAATTTAAATATGTAGTATGCCCAGGGTGCTTGTGTAGATAAACAAGAAGTTCTATAACAAAATAAAAGCTTTACAACGTATTCTTACCAAACCCCCCAAGTTTTTATGCTAATTCGAAATAGAAAGAAATGATGAGTTTTTCTGATAAGGTAGCATCTAACTTACTGTAGAATTTATACATATGTATGTATGTGCATTAGGGTGGTCTAAAAAAAATGCATGTGATGCATGTTTAGTCCGAATTTTAATGCTCTCACCTCCGTGGATTGTTTTATATCGAAAAAATATTCCCCTGTTTTTTATTTCGAAATCAAAAAATATGTAGAGGTCGCTCAACACGTTCAAAGTTTTTCTGGTATTTTATATGGGAAAAAAGAAATTTTCGGAGAAATGGTATTGAATTCTTGAAAATCAATATGGGTATTCATGGAAACGCGTAAATGGCTCGTAACCGCGTAAACCTTGTAAATAAGCCGATTTTCCATACAAAAGTAAGTAAGTTTGCGAGGTTGACATCGTTACGAGGCCTTTACGCGATTAGAGGAATTGCCCTAATATTTTTCGAACGGAAAATCATGTTTCTCTTCAGGAGAATTCAATAATAATACCCAATTGCATATTTTTGTGAACACTTTTTAACGATTCAGGCATTTTTGTGAGTTTTGGGGGACCTACATACATATGTACACATAAGAAATATTTAGTTAATAATAAAAAAATGGTTATATAAACAATTGGGTATAATTATTGGAAGTCTCCGTTAAAAAAAAATGATTTTTAAGAATTCTATACCATTTCTGCAAATTTTCGCCCCCATATAAACTACAGAGAAAACTTTGAGCGCTTTGAGCGACCTTTAAATATTTTTTGATTTGGAAAAAAACGGGAAAAATTTTTCCTATATAAAGCAATCCTCGGAGTTAGGGCGTTAAAATTCCAACTTTGCTTTTTTTGCGGACCACCCTAATGTACATACATACACATGTGTTTAAGCTTGCATAAATGTGGATGAGTTAAAGTCAAATGTTTATTCACGTTCTTTAATTCATACTAGAGATGGTCGAGGCATATCGGGCTCCGTGGCACTTACGGCATAGCTTTCGAAATAGCCAGAATGGGCGGTATTGGGAAAGCCTTTACAAATTTACCACCGGGACGGCACGAAAGCCCTTTTCCGACAGTCCCGATGAAACCCTCAACTTTCGAAAATTCAGAAAAGCTGCCTTAAAGACGTTGTGTGAAAAAAATTCTTTTTTAGATTTTATTGGGACGAAAACTAAAAACAAAGCAAAACAGAATAGCCGGACGATGCAGCCGTCTGGTATTTTTTATTAAGAAATTGCGCCGAGTTTGGTAGAAATTGGTGGAGTGGTTACCCCGATATACACATGTACTCATAAGTGAGCTAGGCTCATTTTCCAAAAATTTCCGTATTCTTATTTTTCGTCTAAAAGTGATTGTAAATATCAATTTCGAGTTAATAACTTTCAGTTGTTACTAAAATATCGCAATGTTCGATATTGATTTTTCTAACTTAAAATAATGACTGAGAAAGAAATGAATTTAAAACAACCCAAGTTTTTTTTCAACAGGTTATTGAGCTTTAAAAATACTAATTTTTCGTTGCACGCATAGTTTCATTTTCACTTTCTGGCTCCTTGACTTTTTGGATACCGTTGTGCTTATATGTAGCCAAATGTTATCAAACAAAGTTGTATTTACTCTTAGACAATATTCTTGTATATTTGATAAAAATTTTACTAAAAAATTACAAACAAAAAATTTAATAAAGTACCCTAGCTTTGCGTATTGGACCACTGTGCAGCGTTTTCAATTCCAAGTAAATTTAGAAATTCGTTAAATTTTGCATCGCTATACATATATACATATATATATATATACATATATATGTACTTACGTGCGTAATGAACTAGTTCTTGGAGTAGATACATACATACATACATATCTACGTACACTTGTGGTCAGGTGATTAAGTTAAGTGACATTTTGACCAGTTTTGGTTATTTTGCTTTTGTTTATTTAATGTTCATAATTTTTTTAATAAAAGTTTAGCACATTACATAACCAGCAACATATATGTAAATTCACATTTCAAACTTCGTACAAAATTTATAAAAATTAAACACCCACCCAAAAATTTTAAACTTTTTACTAAAATTTTTTTTACAAACATTTTAGGTATCCAGTATTATAGCTCATTAAATTTTAGTGGCTTAAAGTGCAGATTTTAAAACGCTAAAAAATCGCGTTGATTTTTAACATATTTTTTTGCTGACGGTGCTAGACATTTTCTTCCATAAACATAAAAGTAATTGCCGAGCATAATTTATATGGGAAAATGCTCTCCATCGTCAGCCGTCTAAAAAATTTTAATAAAAAGTTTAAAATTTCTGGGTGTAATTGTTAAAGTTTGTTTAATTTATATAAACTTTGTACGAAGTTTGAAATGTGGGTTTATGTTGTGCTAGATTTTTATAAAAAAAAAAAAATACAAACATTAAATAAACAAAAGAAAAGTAACCAAAACTGGTCGAAATGTCACTTAACTTAATCAGCTGCCCACAAGGATATGTACGCGTATATGTTTTCTGGGTTTGGGTATTTTCCAATCACTCCGGTTCTTGGATATCCGAGCGGAAGTCACTGGAAGAAATCGCCATCTACTGGTTCTTATTGTGGTTCGTATATATGTATTAATGTAGTAATTTCGATTATATTGTAGTCGGATTATCAAGTTGTCCTTGTTGTTTTAAACTAATTTAAATAATTTACGCATCCATTGGCAATCAAACACTTTGTTCTATTCCTGTTTTCGCTTAGATCACCAATCAAATGATAGAAACCTGCAAGTCCTACATCACTTGCCGTAGTAAGGAGACAATTTGGTCTCAAGATCGCAATGTTATTCGCACAAAGTTAGGCAATTGCATCAAGCTAAACCACATATACCACGAGACCTACTACACCGTTAGAGAGCAACCATTTTTACCGAATCAAACACCGTTCGGTTTCTCGGAAAATTTCGTTTTTGGAAAGTTTGATACATTTTGTGATCGCTTGTCGAAAATCATTTCCATGTTTAATCTAATCGATGATTACAACCATCTATTCGAGCGCCGTTTGGAGGGTCTACTATTAGCGGAAACACTCCAAGATGCCAGCAACCATTTTGAAGAGGCCAAGAAGGAGATCTTGTCGAAGAAATACGATTACTTGGATCACCGCAACGGGGAATTCAATGACGATTTCGAACGCTTCATGAACAAAACCGACTCATTGAAAGACACCATCGCCACTCTTATCGAGACAAATTTCGACACCGTATGGGAGACACCGCAATGCATTCGCTTCTTAACTCGCTTTGAGAGGGTCAGTGAGAAGATACCGCTCAGTAAGATGGATGAAAAATATGTGCGCATCATCAAGTATGTGGATAAAGAAGTGGACCGGGTGAATAAGATGTTCAAAAAACAACGTGACGACCCGCCCGTCTGTCGAAATTTTCCACCGATCGCAGGTCGTATTCGTTGGAGTCGCGCTTTGGATGCGCACATGAAAGAACTGATGGACGCTGTACTGGAGCACCAGGTGCTAAGTGGTCTACCTTTGACGAAAGATCTAGAAAATCGCTACAACAATGTAACGGGAATGCTAAGGGAGTATGAGGAAGAGATCGTATCTATATGGCTGGATCAGGATGTAGATTACTAGGGTCTTAATTTTGAGCGTAAATTATCTTTGTGTTTATCAAATCTTTAGGTTAGCGTAGCCGATGCATGCCTCTTACAGCCTCTCTTGGCCCTGCAAGGTGACCGATTAATCGTTAACCTGCATCCCACTATACCGCTGCTGATACGCGAAGCCAAGATGTTGGCCAAGCTAGACATTGAATTGCCCATTGTTGCCGCCACATTGATGAGTCGCCAGAAGTACTTCACCAACATACAGGACTCATTAAATGTAGGCGAAAATGGAAGTCTGCTTTGTCCAATGATATTTTATTTTTGTGTGTTCTCTTTGTGTTTGGTTGTTCACAGTGTTTGATTAAAATGTTTTTGACAACTGTGCGTGCCGTTAAATTGGAAGTGCGCCCATTGTTTCTGCCGCAATTGGTGCGCCTGACGGCAATGCTGAAACCTGGCCTCCACACTATAAATGTAAGTTAGAAGTATGCTAGTATTGAATGCCCTTAAGGCGGTTGCCTACCTTCCATGCCTAAGCAGTTGTCATTTTGTGAGTAACAAAATTCAATTAAAGTTTCATAATAAGTATCTGCACTCGCAGTCCCTAATCAACTTTGTGTGCTTTGACTTTGTGTATTTTTGATCCAAAGTGGACTCATCAAAATTGGACGGAGTTCTATGAGCGTTGTAAGCGCGCCATTGAGACGTTTAATGTACTGGTGGCACGTGTGCACGACATCTACTCCAATCGCATTTTAAATGTGCTAATGTGGATGCAGGATGTGTCCTTACAAGTCCTGCCCGCAGGTAAGATCACACTAAATTATATCCTATGCTTCGATGTATGTACATAAATGTACGAAATGAAGTTTTAGTATGTGGATTGCTAATCTTTACATCCATACATATTCGTACATACATAGTTATTGAGAAGGCAGATACTATGTATATGTAACTGTACAAACACATGTACTTTCTGTT